GACTTAATTTTGTGATTGCGTTCATTTCCTGTTTTCTCTTACCGCATATTTCCAGGTCAGAGACTATAAAATGGCAATATACTTGGGAGCAAGGATCTAGTTTGTCTCCATTATTTCCGGTTAAGCAGGTAACTGAGAGAGCATTCTCACCAGTAGTCTACCTACTAAGTATTTCCATCTGAAAAGGTGGTAGAGAAGACATGACCAATATATCTGACAAGAATATTCGATTTTGCGTTTGCAACCTCCTTAGTGATATTTTGCGGTAACTTATTGTGAGAAAGAAAGTCAACCTTAATAAGCGTTATATACGGGGTATTCTGACCAAATTTATTTAATTACCAGCTACGGTCAGGTGCGTGCTTCAGTCAATCGCATGCTCTTTGATGCTTGACGTCGATTTGGAGCTCTTCTAATAGATGCCACGACTAAACGACCCGGACTGGCTTTTACCCGTTTACCTCAGCGGCCTATGTTTCTATACAGCCAGCGTCACGATTAGGTCATTTGGGGGGCGGCTTACAAGAAAGTAATGTACAAAGAAGCTCGCTGAGAGGTTTTCGCGTAAATTCAGTGACTGATCTCATGAAAATATTAACCCAAATTCTGAAATGCGTTCTCGGTTAGGAAATATTGCCTAGTTGGGGTTGTAATATTGAATGATAGATGGAACCTAAATCCAAGATGTTTCAGTTATACCAGGATGGTGGTTATCGTATACGCTTATTTTAGTCGCCCTTAAAAGCCACGCTCGATAAAAGTGACTGCTTTAGCAATGTGCATTTTCTACTGGCTCGGGACGACCTTGTAAATCCAAATATATTTTAGGTATTTGACAGCAAATTATGCTCTTTTTTGATTTTATTATCGAAGGTAGAGTGTCGATGGATTTAAAAAACTTTCAAGACCGTGAAATGATCATTCAAATAACATCTTAGATGTTTTTTCGGTGTACAGTTGACCGCCGGTTTCGCGGGCGTTGGGGACCTCAGCTGCTCGCTAACAGCTGAAGTCCGAGAATACTTTAAACTCCTCAAAAAACGCTTATAAGTGCCTTTTTAATCGTTCAATCACAAAATACACTCTAAGCCATAACCCTAAGGAATGTTACTATCATTTTAAAGTCGCTTTTGAAAAACATATGACTTACATATACACATGGACAGTCCTAGAACCGTTACTTTTACCAAGACGAACACGGACCACGTTACCTCTCTGTTTAGGCGCGCACATTTTCTTCCACACAGTATTCAAACATTATCGTTAACTTCTTTAGTATACAGTATATGGTGTTACCAATGGTACATTCACAAGTGCAGGAAACAGTTAAGTACTGTGCCTTGTAACTTAAACAAGCATTGAAAAAATATACGAATTAAGGATAAGTTTAGGACTATGTAAATTAAACGAATACTCGCCTGTGATGGATGCTGATTGAAAATGGTGATGGTAATAAGTGTTTTTTTTATGAAAAAACATATTTTATTGGTAGTTTGCTGTGATTGCATTAACTTTAATATTCTAAATTTAGTAAGTTATTTTTTCATTATAGAAAAGGTTTTGAGTCGCGAAAATAAGATGAAAATAATTGACGAATATCTTAGGTACGATTTACGGAGAAAATCGTGATTACTGAATTTCGAATAGGCGGAGCCATTCGCATAACCGCAGTGGCTCAGTATTTTAGGCATAGAAAATTTAAGCAGACCTAAGGGAACTAAAGGACCCTTTTGGGCCATTTATACTTACTGCCTTTGTCCCGATGTGACAGAGTAAGACGAAAGTTTGCGCGAACGGTTCATCCAGTGTGGCGGTAAATTTTCCCACCGATATTCTGAGAGGAGATTCGGTCACAGTCAGTAGAGTCTCTCGATCGTCTATGCGTGACTCCACTGATAAGGGCTGAGCGAAGATTAGGTGTTGGAACGGCTTTTATTCTAATGGGTCTACCGCATTAGTCAAAGAGCTCAGTAAATTCCTAGGTGAAGTCGGTCGTAGAAGTCACTGAGCGGGGATCGTGGCTGTCCACGATGGCGTGTTATCTGCACAGGGGGGGGGGGGCAGTCAGTCATGAGCCAAAAGGGAACATGCAGATGACGGCCATTAGTTCGATGCCTAGCGGTCTTATTTAACGCTCCGTTGACTCAAGGTCATTCACCGTCCCAACGGGCCCTTCCAGATGCGCATAGCTTGCAGTCTGGCCTACCATAGAGTGCACACACTACCGTCCACCGTGTGCTTCACAGCAGACTGAGAGCAGGCAAGGTGACTTTCGCGTGGACTAGTTTACTGTAAGAGCAGACTTGTGCAGCGTATATCGCGTTCTCTCCTCCACCTCCACCTGAGGCCGGTGTCACAACATAGTCAACAAGACTGGAGGGGGGGGGGAGAGTGCGCAAGTGGCTGGTGCCACCATGCTTCCTGGTCCACGATACACACTCACGCGCGATGGCTGGCGCGACCGAGGACGCCCCTAGGCGTGCCGCCAAACCCGGCTCGGGCCCCACGGAATTGGGGTGCCGTAGATGCTATATTATGATGTTGTCATCACAGCCTGACTCTCAGACCACTACCTGACCATTCCATACTAACACGTATACTGGGCCAACTTCGAGGTTCAAATTATCCGTCAGTTATCAGCCTTCCAAGCCAGGTCAGAAGGAGAAGGATGACACAAGTCACTGGACAACCATGCAAACGACCTGTATACCCAGCGGGAGTGCAAACGCATCTACCAGCACGGGAGTACGGTGCCCGAGAACTGCCACCGCACGCCAGGCGGCCAGAATCATGGTGTGCTGAAGCGTGATATGGCATACGCACATTATCCTTATAACATGTGCGAACACATCCATTTAGAATGTTCACAGTTGTCCGTCCCCCATTTGAAAGTGCCTCTCCCCCCTCCCTCGGCTGATGCAACAACACACACCACTCGGACACTGGGACTCTTGAACCCGTTCCCATTAACGCATAAAGGCATCTGAAACCACCGCCCGACTCTCTCTCCCTCTTTCGGCAGTTAGTTAATATCGTCAACACTCGATCAGGCCTTTCCAGCGGTCGCTGCTGTCCGAGACGAAAACGCTGAGTTCTGTATAAAAGAGATCAGTCTCATTATGGTGCCTTCGGTCTTCTCCTAGTGATCAGGACTCGACGTCCTGGTTGAGGCGTCCTGAACACATCCATTATCTAGATCCCACAAACGCGTCCGATGATCTGAGTAATAAGGGCAGGGGACGGCCCTTATTGAAATGCGTTTTCAATTAGGAAGGGTTACTTACGTGGGGCTGTAATGCTGATTATCGTCTGGCATAATCCCGTGATAATTCCGACTCACTGGGATGTTGGCTTTTGAATGCACTTCTTTTCGATCTCCTGCAGAAACCACCGTTGGTAGAAAATGACTACTTATTAGTATGAATTTTTCGTACTGATTTTCGACGCCCTTTATTAATCCAGGCATATTTTTTTGGAAACGATGCATAAGAATATCCTTTCTTCATTTGATAGTAGATTTTGCTTTCATGAAATTTCATGCTCAGAGAAAGGGTATCTTCCGGTTTTAAATATGTTTCTTAATCCGCGAATAATTCCGAGTCCAATCTGCCGTCATATCTATGCCCAGCAATCAGTCTGCAAGGTGTATACCTTCCGCGTAAGGAAAATCATCCACTCCTCTGTGTCTTTAAGAGGATATTATATAGAGCTCATAAAAAGTTGCAATGGAATTGGATTATGTAGTATACTTCATGAGGAACATCAATAAACGGACAGGTACGATACTGTAGGCTTGGACATTGCATGGTTCTAAAAAGTCATCAATAGAAGCTTCCTTAAAATTGAAAGGTACTCTTTCTTCGGGTATAAAATCTCTAGAAGACACTATTTTCTAATAAACGAGCAGATGAAGAAATGGTTTTGTAAATTTTCTCCATAAAATAACCTAAATTTATAAGGACATCGTCAATCAGTTTGGAAAATTCATACTACTTCAGCAGTTTTCGCCGAGTGCGGTCTTTAGAGAGAGTCAAAAAGAAGTGCATTCAAAGGCCAACATTCTGATGAATCCGAAATATTACGATATTACGTCGTAAGATAATCAGCCCCATAGCCACACTGAATTATTCCTTCCTAGTCCAAAAACCTAATTCAGAATTTCCGCTGAAATTTCTTCATGAGATCGGTCACTAACTGCCCGCCCTACGCTCGTATCTTGCGTGGGGTTTTGGCGTTTTACACCGGAATGCTTCCTAGTAGCGTCCTGCTGGAGACCATTTACAATGATACACTGCGAGAGGAAAAGCTAGTACAGTTCATAAATCTACTCGGCACCACTACAGTGAAATGAAGTAAACGATGTCGATGCTGCGCAAAGTGACATCCTGTTGCCGCTGTGCTCTTTGTGCAATTGGTAGTCGGATCACAAAATAGATCCTGGCTGGAGTGAACTGCGGGACACTGGAAAAAAGCTAGGAATTTTGACTGAATAGAGGAGATCCCAGTGGAAGCTGGCGCCTAAGCATGCGCATCGAGGGGCGGCCTGTTTAGAGCCTGCGTCGAAAAATCCAATGGGGATGATTTCACATACGCTAAAAATTTACCCCTGGAATCCGACAGGTAGGCAGCACAAACCAGCGCTAGCCAGCTTATAGTCGAATTGGGGACACGTTCCGTTGGGAGGCTTCGGGCAAATTTGCAATGACAACAACAATCTTGGAAAATATAAAAAGAATGAGTTCAAGGCAGTAGTCTTATTCAACTGTTTTTCAGCCTACATAAATTATGCGGAAACAGCGTCTGAAGGTAGTTTTACATGCATTCAACCCCTAGACGTTCATTCTGAAGCCGTTTTTATTGTCTGTTTATCGCCTAGAAAACATCACACGGAATAGACGAATATGCCACTGCTGGAGGGTTGGAACGCTGGAGCCGTCTGGGCTCTAATAAGACGTTTTATTGGTGAAGCAATGTCATCCTTTATTGCAAACTACCCAATCATGTACCACGACCACTTCAAACATTATGAGCCTTTTGTGGGCGCCTTGATCGCAGGCTGCGCTGTCTACTCCTCAATCTTTGTCTGCTTTCCCCTGAGTGGGGCCCAAATCAACCCCATGGTCACAATTGCTGTCGTAATTACTCGTCGTATGAGTATCATCTACCTGCCAATGTACTGGTTGGCTCAAGTCTCCGGAGCCCTATGTGCCCTCCAGATTGGTCGTTCGATGTCCCCGTTTGTAGGCAACCGGACTGAACTTGGGATGGCGATGCCGGGTCCTGGAGTCAGTGACTATCAGGCACTGGTTATGGAGATTTTCATCACATTTACCATGCTGCTGGCTATTGTCGCCCTTCTGGACGAGCTGCGCATTCACAACTTCCATCCGGCTAATAGATTCAATGCTTTTGTGTTACTGGTCAGCGTATTCCTTATGATCGAAATTATTGGAGTAAGTTCAGTACTATCCAAATCTCCGAATCGATTTTTTTACGTTGAGAGTAACCTTTGGTCCGTGCCTCGTTCTCTTAATGTTGTCTGACCCCCTCGTTCACGACAGACGCAAAGGACCTCATTGAAATTTTGTAGTCGATATGGTCATTTTGATTGGCCGTGAAGCTTGCTGGTTTTAGAGGAAAGACTACATAGCTTCTGATGACATTAGGACGAGCGTTTTAAGCTGTCGTAAACAGCTTAAAATTTCCAAAATTAAGGCGAAATTTCGAGTTCCACGTGTATGCATGAGTGAAGAAGAAGAAGAAGGGGCGAGTACCGGAACACTTTGTTTATTGTCCTGAGCTTTCAGACTCGTGTAGGAGTCAATCGTCAGAGGTAGTGGTAACAATAGAACAAGCGACAGTTATAGGGTGGCGCTGGTGTACAGAGCCCTGCGTAATCACCTCCAGTCTTGCGCCGTCGGTCGATGATTGGCCTACATGCCCTATAACTGTCACCTGTTCTGTTGCTGCCACTATCTCTGACAATGGACTCCTGCACGAGTCTGAAAACTCAGGGCAATAAACGAAGTGTTCTGGTGCTGGACACTTCTTCTTCACTCAGCTTAAAATTTTCAGAAAAATGCAATTGGTAAAAGCGCAGTCGCAATAACATGAGCGTTAAGATGCCATCCTCATGGGGAGCAGCGAGATTAGTCGAAATTCAACGCAAAAAGTGTTCTGAGCAAATGCACGATTGCCCGGTCAACATTTATGGCATGTTCGCGATTATAGGCTCTGCTCTTTTACTTATTTGCAACGAAACGGGATTGCTTTAACAGAAACCCATGATGAAAGGCGTCAAAATAGGCTGAACAACCTGAAGTTGCTGGTATCGCGGCCGAAGAAATAGAAAAAGTAACGTTGCCATAATAACAGCTCCCATAAGCAGTGCTGGAAGGAGTAAGTCAACTTGGAAATTAAACGCGTGTTCGCGATACGCATGTCCGAATCTACTCCTATGTACGATTAGCATACTTGAGTCTATAGTGAGGGAGGGCGATAATTATGCCATGTGTCGCGGTCCTTGCATTTCGCCCAAGTGGACAGTCTTCATATCCTTCACTTACAAATGTACAGTGAGTGACCAATCTCCTGAAATGTTGGCTGAAATTCCGAAATGCGTTTTCGATTAGGAAGGATTACTTAGGTGTGGTTGTAAGACTGATTATCTTTCGGCGTAATCCTATAATATTTCGGACTCGGCAGGATGTCGGCTTTCAAATGCACGTCTTTTCAACTTCCTGTAGAAGTCGAGCCTGTTAAAAAATGACTACTTAAATAGCATGCATTTTCTCACTGATTTTCGATGGTCTTGCGAATTAAAATATATCTTATAGAAACCATAAACAAAAATAAGTTTTTTTCAGCCGTTTGATAGAGAATTTCGTCTTCTTTTTATTTTATACCCAAAGAAGGAGTAAAATTAGCTTATAAAGTTTTCGCATAGCAAAATATTTTGGAACCTGATCATTCGTTGCATCGGCGCTTAGTGATTTCAGTCTACAAGGCGCACGCGTTCAGCGTAAAGAAAATTACATATTTTTCTATGCCTATATCATACAGAATCCATAAAATTTTGCGATGAATGCGGACTATGTTGCACACTTCGTAAGGAACTGTGGTAAACGGAAAGGTGCGATGCTATATGAATAAGCATTGCGCGGTCTTAAAAAATTCCATAATTAGAAACTTTTTAAGACCTAATTATACTCATTCTTTGAGTATAAAACAGAAATAAGACGTAATTCTCTATCAAACGGCTGAAAGAAAGTTTATTTTTGTATATGGTTTTTTTAAGATATATCTGAATTCTCAAGACCATCGAAAATCAGTGAAAAAAATGCATGCTATTTAGGTAGCCAATTTTTACCGAGTACGGTTTCTACAGGAGATTGAAAAGCAGTGTCTTCGAAAGCTGACATTCTAGCGATTCCGAAATGTTATAGGATTGTGCCACAAGATAGTCAGTATTACAACCGCGCCTAAGTAATCCTTTCGGAATTTCAGCCAACATTTCATGAGATCGGTCACTCACTGTACTTGCCACTTATGTCCGAAAGATGGCTATCACGACTAACTGTGGCTGTCCAGGCTGCCGTAGGATGAAAGCGAAGAACAGGCTGCCCGCAAAGTTGGAAAATGATGACAGTTTGACTTTTGAGAATGTAAGCCCTGCGGAGTGGACACAGCGTCCATGGCTCGCGCGTGAATCAGTTAATAGTGAGACAGACCTGCGTGGCATCCAACACACTCCCCTTGCCAGCCATCATGCTCCACTGGCAGGATAATGTCAGGCTGACTGAGGGTGGGCTCTGTCACAGTGGTTGGCACGACTAAAGGATCCGTCTGCACGTGCCACACACGACCCCGGTCCCAAACAGCCTTCACCTTGATTTCACGAAGGCAGCTCAGGCATGAGAAGCACCATTAATTACAACTCTCATGACAACACAGTGTGGAGTAGACGTCAGTTCGACTGGATATGACTCTGTGCTTGGCCCTAATGTGATGAAGCCACTTGTGTATTCAATGGGAATGAAAGACTCAGAGGTAAACAGGAATGACGCTACACCGATTCCGTTCGGAGAAAGGGGCATGGTGTTTCGGCTTTGCCTTCAAACTCTAGACGGTAGAGTGTTCGACTCAAAGTGCTCGATGACCAACTGACAGTTTGTCGGCGATTTCCACCATGTGCCCCACGACAAGGTGAGAGCAGGCACGGTGGCTTGCGCGTCATTTAGTTTATAGTGAATTCGGAACTGCGGAGAATATACCGCGCTCTCTCCTCCTCCCCCACTTGGGTGCGGTGTCAAGACGAAGTCAGGCAGACCGGAGCTGGGGAGGGCCGCAGGTAGCTGGTGCGGCCGGACCTACGCCTTAGCGTAGGGTCAGAGTGGGCAACCATGCACACTACCTGTTTACCCAGAAGGAGCGTATGCGCATCAATCGACAGGGAAGTAGGTGCAAAGACCTGGCAGCGAAAACCAGGCTGAGAGGTCCAGGGCTTGCTGAATTATGGCAACGAAGACGCATACAATCCACACCCCGTTCCAAATACCGGATCGTCCCAGGCTATTTTCTGGTGTATGACTGGCTACCGATCGCAAGCAAGCGAGAAATAACTGACAGGACAGCGACCTTGTGGCAAAGTGTCGATCTTCGATACACTTAATTTTCAGGGAATCCGGGTTCGAATCCCAGGTCATCCAAACCTTGATTCGGGTATTCCTGGCAGCCAATAAGCACATGTAGGGACTTCTTCCTGCATTAGCAATGCCGTTCTGCTGACTAGAACTGATCTTTTACTTCAAATCATCGTTACCCCTTCTACGTTAAGGGAAAATATGCCCACACCGACTAATTTAATAAAAATACCAATTTTTCAGGCTCCTATTTCTGGCGCTTGCACAAATCCCGCAAGAAGTCTGGCAACCGCGCTGCTCAATTTAACCTTTAAACGTCAGTGGGTGAGTTCACTTGATTGCTTTTGTCAATTCCCAACTGAACCGTTGAAAACTCCCTTAACTCGGAGATGCAATTTCGCATTCATAATGTTGTTGAATTACCAGTCCTGCTGACCTGCGTCATTGATTCTTGATTAGCTAATAACCTTATAGTTTTCACTTGTTCTGTCACTGTCTTTATCTCTGACGATAGACTTCTGCACAAGTTCGGAAACTCCGAAAAGATCCACAAATGATTCCGATGCTCAATTACTTTTTTCCTTTTCGGACCTAAAGAAAGAAGTGGTTTTTCGGAAATTCAAAAATAGTTAAGCCTAACCGTTATCAGACGTAATAAAAACAAAGGAGAAAGCGAGGTTATCATACTAGACCACTTGTTAAAAGATAAGGTCGCGACTGACGGAGCAAGGAGCCCGTGGTCTGCACGTATAATCAACAGGTCCCAGGTTCAAGCGTCAGGGGTTGCGAAACTAATGCTTGGGTTTTGGCTATCCGATGACGCCTTACCAGCCAGAAATGGTCATTCTTGTCTTCACTGTCTGTCGATAATGTTATTCTAATTACGTACACATGAGATTGTTCACCACTCTGGAACTCGAAAAGAACTTTTTAAGATAACCCTGGATCGAGTCAAAATCGACGCCAGAACGGTAAAGATTGACAGGGGGAGTTCATACTCCCGCAATTAGAAAAAATTAAGAGTCTGGGCTCCTCGTCTTTCCAAAATTTGACTTTTGAGTACCAGCAGATTAATCTGCTGGTGTGCACATTACCTTGCAAGAACGTGAACAAACTGCTTAACTAATATACCAGTTTCCTGCCAACGATTGACAGCAGACGAGCCACCGAAAATTGCTGAAAGGCGGCGGTGAATTGCCATAGAAGCATCCTTTCTGTCATGCTATAGACAACTGCGATAATAATACATCTTCAAATACTTAATAAAAACCAAACAATCGCAGAACAAGTTTTGCAATGCAACTCCAAAAAATGCGTTTTATACGAACCTAGACAAAGACACGCCTCTCTAACCAACGTAGACTTCTCTTAACGCTGATAAAAAGCACTTCGATCTGAAATTTCTTGCTTATTTACGACCTTTCCAGGCATATTGCACTCGGATCGTTCTCTTATAGCAATCTATCACGTTTCCTATGCGTCTTGCGACATTCGAAAACTGGAAAGTTTCAGGGGATGCACCGTTTACCTTTTATCCCGACAGGCAGTTTGATCTCTACAGAAATACATACTTATTTACTGAAAGACGGGCATTCCAAAAAGTTTCATTTGAGAGCAACAAGTCCTTTGGGAAGTGTGACAAACTGTATTCCATAGATTTGCGACACTGTTTCGTCAGGTCATCTTCAGGCGTGCGGCGAATGTACAAAACAGTCAGACAGTTTGACCACAGTATAGTGGCTTGCAGATGTTGCAAAGAGTCTTGTAGATGACCTCTTTCTCATCTAAATATCTGGGCATATCCTTGGGGTACACAAGTTAGTTGCGTATTGTGGACTTCGGTTTGTCTGCCACTTGAATTTAAAGTATCCTTTAGGTGTCTTTCAACGACTTTGGACGGGGTACTAATGTACAGAAGTGTTCTTCAGGTTTTAGTCTAGGCACTTGATCGGAACGATCTATTTCCCAGTCTTTTTCTTTTAGTCGATGTTGTGTCATGCACCGGCGTACAAAATCTTTAGGGTACCTATTTTGGTTTGAAAGAGGTTTCCGAATGATAAGGGAATATGCTCGGGGAAGGAAAGTTTCCAATTAAAAACTTAGGCATTTGTTAAGCTCACTGAAATCGTTAATACTTTGCATGGGATGTAATTTGACTGACTATGTCTAATGTTTGATAGGACGCGAGCACATGATTCAGCAAAAGAATGAGTAATTTTGGAACTGTGGCACCATGCTTGCTCTTTATTCAAATAAACTCGTCGAAAAGCAACCTCCAGACCTAAAATATGACCGGAAATGACAAAGAGGAGGTTTTTTCGATTTACCATAGATCAATGGAGACGTTGAGTCCTACGGCCCGGATAGGATTTTCCCGTCACCTTCGAAAAGACTCCTGAAATAATAACAGATTCCGCCAAATAAATTAACGGTGCTTATTCATTGTAGTCAGTGGCTCAGCCACAGCTCAGACTTTCGGATATATCCTATCACCTTAAAAACGTTTATTTAGATTCTGGAATAGGCAAGATAAGAAAGTGCCTAGAATAAATACTTTATGATTTAAGTACGGATGCTTTATAGCTCTCACTATTACTTTCTCGATTCTCGTCCGGACAGCTTGTAATTCTTACCGTTCACAGGAACGTAAGGAGTCTTAATATGTACGCAACCCTTGACTGAAGCTGCTCTTTCGTTGGACGAGAGCGCAGACCAGTAGCAAGACGGTCTGTAGGTCGTGCATCGCTGGGACCTTTCTGGGTCATTTCAGACTCTTGAAGGTTATGTCAATTCACTCCCCTTTATCTGAGGTCTGAATGGTGTCCTAGATGCCACAGCCTCAAACGCGCTAATGATTCGGACTACCGGCATGTCGCTGTATGTTCTTTATCACCGAGGCTTTCATCCTTTCTAGTAGTACTTTTTGGAGTCTTGTCCTACGAAAAAATGTCGCTAGCTTGGAACTGCTCGGAGATTTGGACGGGGGTCTGCAGTCGATCCGGCAGTTTAAGGTACAATCTACGAGTTGCCAGTTTTTTGTTTGACAAAGGTGAAAAATCTTCTTGAATCTCTTAATGAGGGCAAGGATTCGTCTGTATATTTCAAAATCATTTACCTCTGTGATTTTTGAAGGCCAACGACGAATCATTCACTTGGAACGTTCAGCCCATAGAGTCAGGTCATTTCATCCCTTCCGGAGGGAGTTCATTTGGAGACTCCCTTTGCTTCTCCTTTACTACTACTACTACTACTACTACTACTACTACTACTACTACTACTACTACTACTACTACTACTACTACTACTACTACTACTACTTCTACTCTACTATATTATGGTTTTCTGTCTAGGGCAATACCGAAGGCTCTACTCGCATCCCCTGGTTGTTTTGTTGGACATCTGTAGGGGTATTACCAACCATATCTCCTTCCTGACTCTTTTGATTTTAGTGTTCCCCTTATATTCGAGTGAAAATTTGAGGATTTTCTTATCAGTTTTTATGATGTCCCTTTTTAGAATGCTTTGTCTTGACTGACTAAACATTATAAACTACGAGACCACACGTATAGGGACAAAATGAAGTATTCTAGTGACCATAGTCGCCGCATGCCGAGCGCGAGCTTCTAAAGCATAAAGTTCTTCGTCCAATGGACAACAATGGCAAACAGGCAAACAGGGGATCGCCGTCTAAATATTGCGTATGCCTAACAGAGGTTTAGGAACCCGTCAACAGTTTGAATGTACTGTCACATACTGACCTGACGCATCTCCTCCGTTAACTTTGTAGATATTCATGGTGGGACCGTTAACGGGCATGCTTCTGGCTGTCTTCGTCTACGAATTTATAATTTGTCCGGATGCGTCTTTGCAGCGAGCGAAGGCCCTGCTTTCGCCTGAACCCTTCGATCGTAGCAAGGCCTACAGCGAGATCGACTCAAACAAGGTTGGAGTCGCTCCGGCCTGATCTGCGGTAAGTTTGAAGTCTCGGTCTCCCGAGCGCTGCCTGGGGCTGTAATTACCATTTTCATAAGGGACGACAACATCTTTCTCTAGACTATCGAAAAGACTGAGAATGCCGAAGACACCATAGAACACATATGCTTTCTGGATGTACTAAAGAACATAATTTTCTTTCAATCAGCGCCTTCGATGCTAAACAGTCCAAAAATTAAAACATTTACCCCTTTAAGCGGTGGCAAAGTGAGAGTCGAAATTCTAAAAGACATTTAATGACGACGATAGCCAGCAAAGCCATTTTACCAGAAACTATTTAATTTGAAAAAGACCGTGTGTGCCTAAAATTCTCTGACTGATTCTTGTGGCATCTATGATTATTGTTAACAGAAAAACATTAAATTACGGAGAGGGACGAACGGGGTGAAACAAGGGGCATGAGGCGGTTGAAGGAACTCTAGGTATTTTTGTGAATTAGCCCTTTCAGAAAATTTAATCGACCTTCAAATCAAAACATGTAATGTGTTTCCCGACAAGTACCAAACATGATATTGTCCCTAAGACGCCAGAGAATAAGCAGAGCGCGTTTCGATAGGAGTATTGACCCCTTGTGGACCATACTGTGAAAAAAATAACTTGCGAACCTTGCAGACTAATCAGTTCTGTTAAAAAAAAGAAAAACGACTGCTCAGACCGGGCCGAGGTCCTATCCACTCCAGTCCGGCCCAGCCCTTAGAACGGGGACGTATGCTGGCCGGGCCCCGACAAGTAGTATCATCCGCACAGGGGATGATGATAAGTGAACGCGGCCTTAGATATAACTTATAAAAAACATGCGCCACTAAAAATCAGGTATTTCACATGGCTGTACAACACGTCAAGTCAGAGACCGTGTTCCCCTCCTAAGGTTGGGATCATAGCGCAGTCCGAAGGTTTACCCTTATTTTTAGCGCAACTGCAAGTTGCTCCAATACAGATTGTGTAGATATTTCTCTCGCGTAGATCGTCCTCTATTGACGGAGATGGACAGGGCTAACAGCCGGGATTTTACCTCATGGCCCACTCTACTCCATCCTTCATGAACTTTTAACGGGAATTAATTTTCTTATACGACTGCTTCCACAGGGCGAACTTCACAACGAACGTGCCCACGCCATCTGAATAGCAAATACGTGCAGCATTATTAATAAGATCGGCTAAAATAGAAGACAAACGATCCCTCCGACTGAGCCATGATCTCACCCATCCCGGTCTATCCCATCCCTTAGAAAGGGGACATGTGCTAGCAGGACTCTGGCAGGCGACATCACCCCTAGTTTCTAGGAATTTGGACGATTTACACAAAGGCTGACTATGGCAAGGAGGGAACCCGGACGGCCAGAAATCCTTGCTGTTTAAAGAGTCTTCAGCTGGCGGCCTCTTGAAATTGACTGAGATGTTTGGCCTCTGAACTATGACGGCTACACCTGCTGATTGGTCGACATGATACATATTTCCCAATGCCTAACACCCCGCCCCACCACTCAAGGCATTCCATCTCCGGCTGTACGATTTCGCTCTTCATCTGCAGTCGTCCTAGTGTTTTGTGTCAACGACAGCAAATGCACTGAGCAGCGCAACGTTATATGCAGAGCAGAGGTAAAACTGGCCTAAGCGGCTCCCAGACAAACCACCCATCGGGTGTTCTTTCCGTTGAATGGCGGTGAATTGACTGTGTCGGGCGGCACAACAGCTTTCCTTTACACTGACATGCTTTTAAATTACAGTAGGTGGGCTAACTCATGAAATGTCAACCGAAATTCCGAAATGCATTTCCGTTTCGGATAGATTAATTAAGTAGGGATGTAAAACTACTCAGCCTGCAACATAATTCTATAATGATTCTGTTACCTCAGGATACCGGGTTCCGAACGAACCTTCTTTCGTATGCATGCAATAACTATACTCTGTAAAAAAGGACTACTCAGGTAGCATGCGTTTCTCTCATTGATTTTAGATGCCCCTTGAAAAAATCAATTATATTTCATGGAAAAAATGCATCAGAATATTCATCCTTTTGTTCATTCGGTAGGAAATTACGTCCTTTTTCAGTTTTATTCTCAGAGGAAGGGTATAATTTGGTTTTCAAAATCTTCTCCAACCCCCGAAAAATTTTGAACCTACTCTACCGTTACACTTGGATTCTGGGTTTCTAACCTACAAGCCGTATATTTTCCGCGCATGGAAAACCACACATTTCCCTAAGGTAATAAAAGGGGGACCATATAGGGTTTATAAAATGTAGCAGTGGACTTGATCCATATTGTTAAATTTACGAACCTTTATTGATAAATGCAGAGACATAACGATTTAAGAACGGCTATTTCACGGTATTTAAAAGTCCCACAATTAGAAACCTTTTTAAAACTGAATTATGTCCTTCCTTCGAGCATAATATTAAAAGAATGCATAATTATCTACCGAATGAGCTAAAGAATGTATATTTTTCTGCATGTTTTCCATGAAATATAATTGGACTTTTAGGGGCATCGAAAATCAATGAGAAGAATTCATGCTACATAAGTAGTCATCTTTTACACAGTGTAGTTTTGCATGCCGCTGGAAGGAAGTGCATTCGAAAGCAGGCATCCTGAGGTAACTAAAATATTATAGAATTATGTTGCAGGCTGACTAGTTTTACAACACTACTTAATTTATCTCTTCCAAACAAAAACGCATTTCGGAACTTCGGTTGACATTTCATGAGATAGCCCACCTACTGTACATCGTCTAGACTTGGGTTGGGTTTGTAGTTTGGTACCATCATTCTGCCTGACCACAATCAAATGCCAGGTTGATGAAAAATTTGCCAAGCTAACCCGCTCTGAGGTGAGGTAAATGTCAACCGAATAGTTACTTTAGGCGTCTTTTATGGAACCGGATGGCAGAAAGGATACCTGGGCGCTGTACAGGATTATCGACCAGCAAACCCTACAATTGGAGTTAACGCGACCGCAGTCGTCACGCCAGCGAACTTGACCTTAATTATTTAATAACATATGTTTTGCTGGTAACCAGCGTTAACACTAGTCAGTTTACCAGATGAACTACATCTTTTTGAGCCAAAAATTTCCACACTGAATAGTATATCCTCATTTTGCTAGGGACTTCAAATACGTATCTTTTGGTGAACATTTTAGATGCTTGAACGCACCCAAGAGGTGGACTGTTCTGAAGAGAAGAAGCCCGAGTTCGAGCAAAAGTTCTCGTTCACTGCACTGGTTCTGCGTCAGCAATCAGTATCCAAAGGTTTTGCGGCTAGCGTATTGAAAATGGACTCCATGCTGCATTCATCTATTTGTCCTTTTCGAATGTGCTATGTGTGTGTGTGGGGTAACTAAATATTAATTAAAGTTTGTCACTGGTCTTCATGGTTCTTTTTTAAGGTCGGCCTATTACGCAAAGTAGAAGGATGATAGTTTGGATCACAGCTTTCAAAATATTTTGTGAAACCAAGAGAAAAACAGAAATGGGCCCTAAATAAAGTATCATCGGAAAACAATCATCATTGATTATGAGTGATAGTCATGAAAGGGATAAACGACCTAGTGTTTTTAATTACCTTCAGGACAATAATATATCACCCGAGAGAAAAACAACGATTTTACTTAGGAACAGGCAATTATTAAATCCGAAAAGTCATGCAAGACACAAAAACAATTGCTGTTATATCTATTTTGGGTGGTAAAATTCATGCAACAAGTGCATCCATCGGCGTCACCCACTGACTATAATGAAAACATTTCTGCGTCTTTGGCGAGGGCGAAGTATAAGAATCCCCTAAAATCGTACACGCCTTCCAACCGCTATTACGCAGGAGGTGTTAACGGAGTGAGAACTGCCTGATGAAAATGAGTAGCAGAAATGTAGGCGTAAATTATAAGAGGGAGTTATATTTCCTTAGTCATACCTCTTATATTCAGACGTCTTCGGGCGTGTGCTAATGCGGCTGATTAAAAACATCGCAAGATCTTAGAGTTAAGCCCCGTTGACTTCAAAAAGACTGTCCACAGAAGTTGTACTGCTTTTGATTTTACTTAAACCTAGCTAAGTATCGCGGACTACATCATATGCAGCTCTTGACTTTTGCTGGAAAGACGATAATATCCGGTGAGAATCGCCTTCTTGGCATCATAACAGTATGACCGGAAGGATTTATGTAATAACAAGAAATACTAACAGACAACGAGGCATTTTAATCAGGAATAAGTCGCACACATGGTAAGAAGTCAAATGCATGCATAGCCAATTTCATTTGGGTTAAAGATTAATTCAGTACTTCATTGCTTATTGGATCCTCGAAAATACGAGAAGACTGACGTGTTGTCCACGCTGTCTGCCTCTCTTTGGCTTGCGTGAACGTGAAAGTACTGTCAGTCTCAAGGAGCAGGGTGTTACTGGATTATTCGGCAGGCCTAAGGCGTGCCAGAAAACAGGCCATGCTGGCTGTTGAGAAACCAAGCTCTATTCAGATCTGACCAACTGCCGTTGTAGGACATTCTGGCCTCTTGCATCTGCATTGCTGCGATAGAAAGACAAAGCCAAAACTAGGCAGGAGACCTGACGGGACTGTCCGAAGAAGCGTCCACCGGAGGAAAACCTGGTCTGGGCAATACACAAACTTCGCTAGTTTCATATCCCTACAGCAAAAACGAAATCTAGTCCGATGTTTGGCACAAAGAGCTAGAAAAATTTGATCAGCAGATAAAATCGAGGAGGAACTTAGAAAAATCCAGGACTTCCTTCGTGAAGACTGGTACCCAGAAAGGTTTATTGCAAAGAATATGGCCGAACGACCGATCAAACCCGCCACACCGACTGCCAAAAAGAAAACTCTGTTCCTTAAAGTCCCTTTTCAAGGGGACACTGCGAGTGAACTCCTTAAGAGATGCCTTGATCAAGCTGTTTCGCAAACCTTCCCAGCGGCAAGGGTTCAAGTATCCTTCTCTACTAACCCTATTTTACGCGGAG